AGAGGTTCGGAGAATTAGTAGAATGAAAATTCAGAAAGAAAATGTTTGGCTACTGAGGATTTTGTCCATAAAAATGAAGCCAGCAGTCTCTGTCTGGGTTTGGATTTTTCAGCCATTAACCATCTTTGTCCCCGGAGAAGGCAAAGGAAGGACAGGACAGAGCCTTGTTTGAAAGTGATTGACTTTCAGGGTAAGGCGGAGAGAAAGATAAACAGTGAGAGGAGAAGAAGAGGTGAGGAGGAGAATGGAGAAAAAAAAGTGAGAAAGAGAGTTTTTCAGTTTAAGTAATGTCTAGACAATCCCAGACCTGAATCTCTCCCTGAATAATAATGAGCTTTTTGGGGAGTTCCATGACAGGACAGGGATCCTCACCGAGACCAAATCTCTCAGATACACTGATGGCTCAGGGCCTTGTTCAAATGAAGCCCCCCTACCCAACCCCCACCTTTATTATCCTCCACATCTTTCGGCAAAGTCAAAGGACGCCTGTGCAAGCAGCAGGACACCTTAATCCAGAGCCAGGGAGCGGCCTCCCTCCACATATGGAGCCAGAATCTGATTTGGATTCAGGATGCGTTCAGCCTAGTTCTGTTTGGCAACACAGTTTAATATCCATTACAGCCCGCTCTCTTATTTTCTCATTCACTTTTTCCTACACCTCACCCCCCACACTTTGCACTAGCTCCCAAAACACACACATCACGTCACTCCTAAGGATGTAAGTGGAGGTATGGTCTGGGTTTTCCTTGTTCTTTGTAAATAAATTATGATCAAACGGCTTCACAGGTGGGACTCCTGGTGGAATAGAGATAAAGCAGTTATTTATCTCTGTTGCATGTCATACCTCCAGGCTTGTCTCTTTTTTTAAACACAGTTTACATTCATTGGTTGTTGCATAAATCTATGTCTATCTCACTTTACTGAGGGCAGATGTACATGTGAAATACATTTTCATCCTCATGAAATATTCATAATGCCTCTTGACTGTTTCAAAATCAACATCATTTGTATTAATGTTAACATTAAAGTTATTGTTCTCCTGCTTTGGTCAGCATATTGTTTTGATGTATTTTGGGGATTTGCACCAGAACTATTGATCAGTAGATAACGTAAGTAATCATATACCCTTGCTTTGGTAGACAGGCATTTTGTTAGGTTTCTGCCGGCTACCACAGCATTGATGTCATGTGTATAACTATATAGCAACAAGCTACGTAGGAACTACAAATAAGCTTTAAGTGCTGTAGTATGTGGCATAAGTTTACCTGCTTCAAACTCTTTCCTTTGCAAATATACTCTTAAATAAATGAACAAATATTAAGCTGTCTTTGGTACCTAACATTTAGTGACTTTCCTTCACAATCATTTTGCGATTCTGCCCTGTGGAGTTAACACATCTTTGTTATTATCTCTTTTTCTTTTTGCTTTTGTCTGTGCTCTGTGTTATACAGTAGAGGAGAGGATGCAAACAAAATGGGTACCAGCTCATCAAATCACTGCCCGCTGGCATCACTGTTGATTTAAAACCATACAGAGAACCTTTACAATATTTTCTAATAAAGTCCAGCACCTGTATGAAGCCATGTGTCTATTTTAAACTACACTGTAAAACATGATCTTTAAACTCTACCTGAAATCTAACCTAAAAACCTTTTGGTCATAAATAATGCACACTGTTGTGATAAGACGGCTAAAATATTTATATTCTATCCCAAAGTGTTTGCTTACTAGGTATCAGGTAGACCTCTCTGTGTATTTATAATTAGCCCCCTACTGAGACTGCTTTGGGCAGAGAACAGTCCCACATGTCCAGTTTCACTAACAAGTCCTTTCGCCTTTCTCCTTCACATCACCACAGAATATAAATAGATGCCCTTGTAAACAGTTTACTATCACTAAGCACAGCCCTGAAGTGTGGCACGTCTTGTTTTAATTTCCCTGGTTTTTGCAGGGGACCCAACTTTGGCTGATTACTTATTCTTGGCAGAGGGAGCGACAGGGCAAACCTGTTGGCGTGCATTTTGATGAACGACAGCATGTGTGTTGCATTGAGTTTCCTGTGCAGAGGTGTCCGCTCGCCATATGTGTCTTTCTTTTCCTTCCCTGTGTGCTTGTGTGGTTCCCGTGTGTCCATTAAGGAGATCTCATTAATCACGAGAGACTCCGACAATGTCTCTTCACCCCCATATTTCCACTCGGTCATCCACAAACAAGGTACTCTGTCAAAGACTTCAAAGTCACTTACATTTCACCCCTATCATTTCCGAGCAACTGCCAGGGCGCTCTCTAAACAGCTCTAAGCCTCCTCATAGACAGTAACAGAGTGTTGCCCTTGTGGACACATTTGGAGGGGATTCTTCTGCGTGTCAGCAGAGCAGACTGCCTGATTGGGAAGGTTGAGATAGTAGATCACACTAATGTGCTTATGTGGAGGTGTATGTATATGTGTGTGTGAATTTGGGCTCCAGACTGATGAAGAAGGGACAAAGCCTGCTGCTATGTAGTGTATCACTGTCTGCCCCCCCTGCCCACTCAAACACATATGTTCACACACAAACACACACGCAGCCAGACAGGCTCAACGTGACCCCCGGCGCCCCGCCAGAGAGAGAGAGACATTTGCTATTTGACAGTGTGTCAGCAGGCCCAGATAAACTCGGCTGCCAGCTCACCACGGAGCTCGTCCTGCCTCCTGCTGATTGCGAGACGTTTCCACATCGCCGACCATGTGACCTCACCTTCCCAGAGTCCTTTACACAACCTGCTATGCACTGCTGTGTCTTAAAATGGATCGTCATGAGTGCTGTGACTCATCTATCGGAGCTTTGGCGTTCCCTGGGAGCTAAGACACACATTCATGTACTCCTCAAACAGCACTGATGTTGACTTTAAGCTTGCATGATTCAAAATTTCAATGGATTAGAAATCATGTGTTATCATGTGTTAAGATTTTTCTCGTATATGCAGCCCCACAGGGAATAATCACTAAACTCTGCTCTGCTGAGCATTGAAGAAAGTTTAATCAATCATTTTTTATTTACATAGCTCCAAATCAAAACAAAAGTACAGTTTTGACACAGCACAAACAAAGCATGTTTAGTCACAGACGGCAGCTGTTTTCAAGTGTAAGAAAAACTGGGATAGAGAAAAAAACTGCAGCTTGTTCCCTGCCTGTTGGATAAGTAAATGAGATGAATAAAATAAGTTTGCCATATATATATTATGTATTGGTCATAAGCCAGGTTTTGCGTTGTCATTTTCAGACTTCAGTGTTTATTAGCACTAACAACCTTCCTTTCATCTCTATGGTCATACAATGTAGAAACATTCAGAGACTGATATCTTACCTGGGTAAATGAAGTCCGAACTGTCTACATTATGAGAAGGTAAAACATGTAATTGAGAATGTTTTTTTGTTTCTTTGGGTGGTTATGCTTAGACATACATTTTCTCGACCTGTCCTTCATTCTTTTTCCTCCTCTCTTTTAAAGGTTCCACACACGCATACACAAGCATCTGCTTGCAAACACTCAAACAGTCACCTCCAGCGGGAAGCAGAATTGGGCTGTCAGTCAAATGGACAACCTTAAAAGGGCACAGAAGCCTGCAGAAGATATTAATGAATGAAATACTGCACCGACACCTAAGCACACACAAACACAAACACAAACACAAACACTAGAAAGTCTGCCTAAACCGAGACGGCACCACTTCCACCAGGCCAGCTGTTCCACATCAACTGCATCTCTTTATGACACACATGACTTCCCCGCCCTTCAAACTGACTGGCATTATTTTTTAATTTTGCCTCTTTCAGACAGGAACCGTTCAGACGAGGAGGGAGTAGAGACGGGTGGTATGGGTGATGAGGTTTGGCAGCCACCTTGTCAGCACACTTTAATCAGCTTCACCTGTTTTATTAACTTTAGATATCAGTGTAAAATCAGGACACACAATTTCCTGCCTGTTTAAAGGTCGATGACACTCTTACCTTCTTTAAGATGAACACTTTACCTGATTACTGCTCCTTATATTATACAGAATAATAATGATATCATACATATATCACAGTATTGCACTAACACTAACATTGTCTCATCTCCTGAACTGTCATGGCAACAATCTGGCACCACACTTTGTCCTGACAGTATGTCCAATATCTGGTCCATTTTTTCCTGTCATCCCTCCACCCTCTGTGCATCCCCTTGACTTTCTCCTTGACTCACTGCTTTGATAATGAAGCAGAGAGATAAACATCTTCTATTGTTCGCCACTATTCTAATAAGGCTGGTTCACTCAGTACTTGTGTGTGTGTGTGTGTGTGTGTGTGTGTGTGTGTGTGTGTGTGTGTGTGTGTGTGTGTGTGTGTGTGTGTGTGTGCGTGCGTGCGTGTGCGTGTGCGTGTGTGTGTGTGTGTGTGTGTGTGTGTGTGTGTACACTTTACACTAACAATATTAATACAAAGAATGGGAAACATACTGCAGGATATGGAGGGTTTCTGTTTAGACAGACAAGGTAGACATTGCAGAAACTAAAGACTCTCCTCTTGGCAATTTTAAAGAAATAATTGAAAATAATATTTGAAGTGGTAGTTAAGCGACCTAAAAGGTGTATTCTATTCTATTATGTTTTTTCATATTTTTTAATGACCAGAAACAGAGGTCCTCCCTTGGTTGTTTGGCCTGATAGTGCACTCTTGGTAATATAGAATGTGTGTGTGTTTGTGTGTATTTATACAGTATATTTACTGACCTTGGCAAAACCCACATGCTAGAGGAGAGAGCCAATATTGGCAGAGTGAATCAGACACAGCTTTTTTTTCTTTCTGAAATGAGGCTTCATTAAAATCATTCGTCTGCTTTATTGCTGGTTGTCTCTCCATGTGTTGATGATATTTATGTGTATACATAATTGTTCCTAAGCGTTGACTCATATGTACTTTAAGCACTGTGCAAGCCAACATACACATGATGCAAATATATTCCTGTTTTTCTTTGCAGGAAATGTTCACGCCGGAGTGCAAGTTCAAGGAGTCCGTTTTCGAGAACTACTATGTGATCTACTCGTCCACTGTGTACCGCCAGCAGGAGTCGGGCCGGGCCTGGTTCCTCGGTCTGACCAAGGAGGGCCAAGTCATGAAGGGCAACCGGGTCAAAAAGACTAAGCCCTCGTCCCACTTTGTGCCCAGGCCTATCGAAGGTATGAGAATACTGTTTTGGAAAAGCTTTTTTGAAATTTCTGTCTTCCTATTTGTTATCAAATGGGTTTACTATACAGGTAATTACTTGAGAAGACCATTAGAAAACCTTTGGCAGAGCATTTCCTGTTCCAGATATCGTTGTACTCTCCTTAGCAACAATGAGAGTTTGTTCAACAAAGGATCTTGCAACCAACACTTATGGTCATTTACTGTGATGAATTATCTATCTGAAGCAAGTTTTAATCTCTCTGAAAGTTCCATTACTGAAATTGTGGAGCAGATGTTGCTCAGCAGATAGAGAAGATTAACCATTTATGAAGTAGTTTGAGATTTGCAGTTTAAAATACACAGATGTTGTTAAAAGGCTTCAATATATCTTGTGTAGTCTTTCAAATTCGTACATATTTTAAAGAGCCCATATTATGCCCTTTTTGGGGTTCTTATATTTAATCTATGTACCTACTAAAGTACGTTCACAATAGCTAAACTTCGAAAAAAGTGTCTGTTTTCATGTACTGCGGCTCCATGCAGCGGCTCGCTTCTGACTCTCTCTCTAAGGCTCTAAAGTGCCCACGTTCAGAGTCCCCACATGTGCCAAGTCTGATCTGATTGGTCGGCCTGTCGGCTCTGCCGTAATTGATCAGTTGCTCAGCACGGTTCTCGGAAATGTCCCGCCTCTTTTACCATATTGGGAATGCAGCCACTTTGGCTCTGTCTGAGGGGAGCATAAACATTAGCACCTTAGCACTACTGTGCTACTGCAGGCAACAGCATATCGTGGGCGTGCTACAGAAGTTAACGGGCGTGCAACATGAGCTGCTGGGCTTGCCACAACGAGCCAGTGGGCTTAGATCAGTGATATCACACTGACAATGACGTCGGACTGACACATTTTTATCAAGGGGGGGCTAGAACCGAGCGTTACATGCGGCTAATGCTACAGCTAACAGGAGGACGTAGGAGAAGCTGCGTTTCCGCGGACTTTGAATTTTTGCACATAGATGTGCCTAAACATGCACAGGACACTTGGAAAACACACTAAAGAGCATATAAAACAAAAAAAGCACAATATGGGACCTTTAATGCGCATTAGAAGAGCTTGAATGATTATCACTTCTACTTTATACACTAAAAATTAAGCTACAACTAGTTTCTAGTTAGCTTTAGTTTAAAACATTACTGGGTAAACAGAAAGCCTGACTTTGGCAGAAGATTTTAAAAGAATCATCTACCAACAGTGAGAGTCAGGAGATTGTTTGAAACTTTTTTTGGTCCAGGCAAGCTACAACCTGTTTTCAATCTTCTTCTATCTTTGGCTTAATATTTACTGTAGACATGGAGTCTTTTTAACGCAAAGAAAAAAAATCAGTAATATAAATGTGTAATAGATATTATCTTGAAAACCTGTCAAGCGATGCGATAAAAAAAAATGCTGACATGCTCTAATTCCCCCGTCTTATCCCTCCCAGCCTGGTATAATTGTCCGTCCTGCCTCACACCTGACCTTGTCTCTGTCTTCACATCCATCTCTCGAATCTGCTCTCCATTGTCCACTTTCTGGGATCCTACTCTATTTGTCGTCTCCTCTTGTCTGCTTTCCTCTCCTCTCTTTACATCTCCTCTACAGTGTGTATGTACAGGGAGCCGTCACTGCATGAGATAGAGGAGAAGCACCGCTCCAGGAAGAGCTCAGGGACTCCCACCATGAACGGAGGGAAAGCTGTCAATCAGGATTCCACATAGCAGCGGGGGGAGGGGCTTCCCATTGGGGGTGTGGTCTCATCCTGACTCAGGGGGATGGGCCATAGGAAAACTCACCACCCCCTTCAAATTCTGGAAACCATCCCCTCTGAAAAGGAAGAGGGCGTTGCAACGAGGAGGAGCTATAACTGTACAACTAAGACATCAAAAATAAAAACTGAACTCTTGCCTGTGAAAACCTTTTAGATGAATTAATATGAAACCAGAGGATATATATATATATATATGTATAGATATATATATGAAAGACAAAACATTTTCAATCAGAACTTGACCAACATTTTATGCAAAAAAAAAGAAAAAGCTGTGATAAACAAACAAAGAAATGGTGGTCTCTCTTCACACAAATACAAATATCTATCATTTCCAATTTATGCTGTGAAAAACAAGCTTTAATACATGTTCAAGTTTCATACAATGGTTTCTTTTCTAAATGCTATTGCACTCTCATAATGCTTTATTGTGTTAAAGTTGTTAGTATAATAACTATGACATCATCATTTTTACTCATTTGTTGAACTAATCATCCAAGTTTTTATCATAGTTTTTCTGAGTTTTCTTTTGACATTTCTCGGTCTTTTAAAACCTAAAGAAAAACTTTATTTTATTTTTTCCTTTTTCTAATTTGATATTGAACGCACTGTCACACTACTTGCTCTGGTGTGAGGAAAGACTGAATGTATTTGGTAGTTCTCTGTGTTGGACTCCAATGGAAACAGAGTGCTAAAGAGTGGGATGTAATTTACTCAGGTGTGTACGGTAAGTTAACTAATGTGACTATAGGATGGATAGGACTGTTTTGAATATTCCTGTAAGAGCTCTGATTTGTTGTTCTGCTATGGCAGGACAGGATTGATACAAGCAATATAGTAATAACAAGCTTACAGCACATGTCTGTTGATGGTGTGTTCGTTGGTGAAGAGAATTTACAAAGAATGTCAGATTTAGTAGGGAAAAAGTGAATCTGTGGTTCAAACGAAGCCTCAATAAGTTTTAGGCAAAGATTTGTAAGAATTTGTCAAAAACAGCAAAAGTATTATTCTCTCCAAAGGCCAAGAGGACGATAAAGACCAGCATCAGCACTATGAGCCATGGCCAAAAACGGTCAAATCACATTTGCACCTCAAGAAATACAAAACTCTTTGCTATAAGCTTGGCTATAACAACAAATGTTGAAGTATAACTATGACCATATGCGGGCTTTTGAACTATATGAACAAATTGTGAATTAATCCTAAATAAAATATTTTAGAATGTTTTTGTAAGAGATGAAAGATGAAAGCTATTTTGACAGGCCATGGCAGTGAAGACGTGTTGACTATTTTTTTTTCAAGAAGTTCTTCAATTTCTGTCACTTTTATTTTGAAAGAATTTCTCTTTTCTCAACACTGGTGGACAGGGTGCCTGACTGTTTAATATCCCACTGACCTGACATATTTTCCATGTTAGGTCACAATCATTTTGACTTTCCCATCATAATGAAAGCAGAACGTCTCATTGAGGAACCAGTTAATCTGGATTAAGCCAGGTTTCGGGAGGATGAGTTTATCTTCCCAATGAGAATATCTCACTGTGTGTTTTCTCTGACATGGTAATCCATACCCCCTGGTTTTGTGACCCATGAAATGAGCCGTTCGCTGCATTGTGGAGGAAAGCTTCCCTTTCATAAATCAACACACTGACAGGGCTGTATAAACAAGGTGAATTGACTGGTACACCGCGTATGCCACTGTGTGTGCTGTGTAGCTCATTCCTAATCCCCAATTAGTTTGTCTTACTCAGGAAGCCCTCCAATTTTTCTGTGGATGGAGCCAGACGTTAAGGCTTGGCTGCTCATTGCCCAGCACCCGTTGCACAAAGCCTGGCCACCAGTGTGACATTTAAAGAGGTCAGGGTGGGGTCAATGGTGTTTTCATTATTACCGCTATATGTAATGTACAGCGAAGCCCAGCCAGATTAAAGATGTGGAGGAAGGAATAACTGGTGCCTAGACAAAGCATGATTATAGCATGACTGCAAGAGTTGATGTAACAAAGGTTTTCAGATGAGAGTTAATAAAAGTTGGTTTTAAATTTGGGGAAAATAGGAACAAAACATTTTTATGCAAAGTTTTGATCTGTTTAGTTCTGGATGGAAATCATATGCTAAAACAGCGGTATGTACATTAAATAGCACACTTTCAGTTGCACAGAGCCAACCATAGTGATACATTTTTATGGATCTGGGGCCTGGGTCCGTAGCTGGTGTAAGTAGCCTGCAGGAGCTAAAGGTAGATTATTTTGCTTTCCCCATCACCTACAGCAAAGCAGAGATACATACAGTAATCTAGACATGGCACTGAAAGTCAGCAGACAAGACCAGCATATATAAGAATCTTTTTATAGAGGTTTATATTGGTGCAAATGAGATACATGTGGACTTTAAAAAAAAATGCATGAAATTGGATGTACTCGATGTCAACTGTTGACAGCAAAATGCGAGGATTTGAGAAATAAAGCAAAGAGGTGAAAATAGCTGATGTGACAAAGCAGTATAGAGGAGAGCACTTTTTGTGTGGGTTTAATGATGTATGAAAGGATGAGAGAAGGCTTTGGTTGTATGTGAAATTACGTATAGTTTATTAATTTTATGTTTGCAGATGATTTCCCTGCATTGAAACACACTCATATATGCATTATGAATTGTGAAATGAAATTTAAAAAAAATGCATTGATTATAAAAAAATCAGAATGAAGTTAGTGATTGTTTAAGAATAAAGACTATGTTACCAAAAACTTGAACCTATGCAGTGATTCAGTGTGTCGTTGAGCGTGACTGACAGCTGTTGTGTACATCTGTTGTATTAATGTCACTCTCTGCAGCAACAAGACATGCAGCAGGATAAGCACACAAACTAAATCCATCAACATGGATTTTCTCACGGTTCAAATACAGAAAATTCAATCCGCTTCCTTTTATCAATTCACCGGGGGTGATTTATCTTCTCACCAGCCCCTAAATCCAATGTGTCTTTTTTGGGTGGCGCTCCTTCGCCCTTAATTCTCCTGTTGTCATGGAAACAGACCTTCAGTGCAGTCTGAAAGGAGAATGAGGAAGAGGAGAAGGAGGATGATGAAGGCTCCCCTGACTTTCAGGACCTGGCTTGTCTTCTCTCCTGATGGCTGCAGCACAGAGAGCAGCAGAGTTAGACGAGGGGAGGGGAGTTTGTTCTCTTTTTCTGTGTCCATAGGGTTGCCTTAAGGTACAGAAACAGCTGCAAGGGACATGGAAAGGGGGGCAAGGGGGACAACTTAATACGGTCTTACAATAAGAAAAATGGGACAAATAAGACAACAAAAAGATAGAACGTTTGCAAATTGATTACACCTCAAAAACGTGTTTTTTTGTACAGGTATGTGTGTTTCCACTAAAATATCTTACTTTGACTACACTGACTTGTATCTACATACCTTTCTGTTTGTCAATAGCGATGGCTTTTCACATTGCACTCCTGAAGGGAGAGAAGAGGTGTCTGTTCATGTTCATAGAAATCTTAGATTCAAAGGTATTTAAGCAAGCTAGTTTATGTGCTTAAAAAAGGTGAAAGCCAATTTCTGTCTTGTATGCAACTCAAGCAAAGACACCTTAAAATCTCTGGTGTAGACAAACATGTAACTATAAGTACATGGAGCGAGAAGTGTATATCTGTACAACATTTTGGAGCATCTCAGACAGCACAAGATATTTCGTTCAGGACCAAAGTAGTTAAACTTGACAAGAACACATCATCTGTGGATACAAAAAAAAAAAGAAAACTTGCAAGGTAACTGTGGACTAAAGAAATCTTGGAAAACTTGATGTTCATTCTGTAAATGATGGTCCCATTTAAAGTTCATACGACAATGAAGCAGGATTGATTATCTGTAATTGACGAGTTCTTACCACAATTTCCTGTTAACAAGATAAGAAGCATAGAGTTGTGTAACCATCCACCCTGTCCCCCAAATATGGCCAATTCTGGCTTCAAAACCCCAGATGGTTATGTCCAATATTAAGACATGAGAATCCAAAACACCAGGCCACTTCAAATCTGTTAAACATACTGGACAGCCCTGCAGACTCACAAGTATTTTCTTCTTATCTAAAGGTTTGCATTCCCAAACCCTCCTTTAAACTTTTATCACTTTTACCGCATCAATAACTACATCCACCTTCGTAATTAGCTTCCAGCAAAAGCAGAAACATTGAAGGTCAGCTATGTAGACACATGGTCTCCTGTAAGTAAGAAAGCCATTCCTCTTACCCCTCTTACCTCCCCTCCCCCTTCACCTGTCCTCTCCTCTCCTCTTTGCTGTGGCTGTGTCCTCTCACATCCACCTGTTCTCCCTCATCCTCCCACTTTTCTCCTGTGTGGAAGAATCAACCTTGGACTCTTAGGTTGTATTGAATTCAGTCCTAGAGTATAGATGTACTTAATTGTGTAATCTGTCCAGTGTAGAATTGATATAAAGTATCCTTTACTAAGATGTGCAATCTGAACATGCTGGCACAAAAATAATGAATTCAGCACAATAATACCTTTTGAAAAGTTAAACTCCACCAGCTTTTTCTCTTTTCAGAAGATTCTCTGTGTTTTACTTTCTGATAGGCTACATGACAGTAAGTTGTCAGGAAAGGGCATTAAATGCTCTGCATGGAGAAATGCATATTTTGCCTGATAAGGATAAGACCATTCCATCTGTCATTTTAAATAAAACTTTTTGATGTTGCATTTATCTCAGTTTCAAACCACATAACTAAGAAAAAAGCAACCCTCCAGTGCAAATACTTTTTAGAAGGGTTAGCTTGGCATTACAAGCTTGCTGAGGTGTATGTTAAATATAGCCTTGATTATCATAACAGATATATGATCAGGTAGGTCGCAATCCTCATTGAAAACTAAATGGGTTTTCTTTCTATCATTCAGTCAATCCGTCCACTTGCACCTCAAAAACATATGAGAATGTCATACCCTATGAGACTATTTCATATTGGATGCTCCATGTGATTACTTATGTCTGGCCACAGGTCAGCATTTTTGACTTTGAAAAACGTATCTCAGTCGGGGCGCTGGTGACACAGTGGTTAGTGCGCGCGCCCCATGTATGGAGGCTGTGGTCCTCCAAGCGGGCAGCCCAGGTTCGAATCCCACCTGTGGCTCCTTTCCCGCATGTCATGCCAACACTCTCTCTCAGTGATTTCTGACTCTATCCACTGTCCTATCTCTCCATTAAAGACACAAAAAGGCCAAAAATAAATCCTTTAAAAGAAAAAAAAAGTATCTCAGTCATCATTCACACCAGTTTATGTCTGAATACCCTGAACATAATATGCCCCTGATATCAATCAGTGGGATATTTTAATCTAATGTTGTCATCTAGCTCCTCCCCCCATGCACACACACAAAATTAGCTTTGAGAAATTAAACACAATCCATGTAAATTTCCTGAAATGTCTTTTTTCTTCAACCACATGTGTTAAAATATGGCAGATTTGCAGATTTGTGTTGAGGGACTGAAAGGCTTTCTTTTGGATTTTAAACAGCTGGAACATTTAACAACATCTCTGCAATACAAAACTCCCATTGCCAGGATTATGTCAAATACACTTCTGTGCTGTGGGTGTTGTAAATTATAGTCTGTGTATCCAGTATTTTCTGTCAAGTCATAAAAGCTATCATAATGTAGGCAATAAATATCTGGCTTTAATATAGATAACACCAATGAAGAACTTTATGGTCGTACACTTAACTGGGTCAACAGCATAGCAATCTGTTTATGGCCTCTACTGTTACTGTATGCAGACCTGTACATACATAGTTGTGTTGTCTTTTATAGACTCAAGAGCCCACATAGTAAATTATCCATCTATCTTTTCATTCCAGGCCTCTTCTCTCCCATCTACCTCTTTTTGTCTTGTTGATGCGGGTCTGTTCCACTGGGACTTTGCTTGTTTCTCTTTTTCCCATCTTTCCTCGTATAGAATGAGGGAACTCCTGCTAAGAAGTGGGGCGTTCGGTTGTTCTCATTAAAAATAATTGGTCTCTGTTCAATTAAGGCTCAGTGATGCTCCTTTTGATGTAGTTGGCGCCGTGTTTTTTTTTTATGTGCATCTTTCAATCGAGCGACCAGAGTTGGAAAAAGTATCGGAAGATTGGTTGTAATGTGTTTACTTCCGGAAGACGGGATGAGGGGGAAAAGAGGAGCTGCATGGTTAGTGATCATGAATGTTTGAATGAGATTAATTTTGATGTGTTTTTTCAGTACTTTTTAAAATCCTGTGCCAACAAAAACAGAACTTTTTTTTCTCTCTTTAATTCTCTGTGATTTGGCCTCTTCTTTCTACATGTGGGCCTTGCGAGGAAAGCTGAGAGCAAACACATTCACTGATGAGACACATAAAAGTTCATGCACATTCACCCACACATACTGCAATCCCACTCACCCAGCTGCCCGCCCACGCACCCACCCACTCTGTATTTGGTACTCTCACACTCTATCACTTTACTGAAGACACTCTGCAGTATGAGCATGTTAATGTGCTGGCAGTGGTTCCTGTTACAGCGGGAAGATGTTCTGTTGAATCCCAATAGCCAAGGGACAGAAAAGATACTAAGCCAAGCTTTGACTGCAGTTACGCTCCAACAGTGCTACTTCAGTAATTTTCTCTCTCATCCCCCCGCTCATCCTTTTTACACCTCGCTTTCCCTCCCTTCCTCTACATTCTCACTTTCTTAATCTTTATTCCCTCAACACCTCTCGATCATATTTGATTCATTTCCTGTTAATGTAGCATTTTTTCCCTACACCTTACATCATTCTTTTTCCTATTATTGTGTTCCATCTTGTGTTCCTTTCTTGTTTGCGGTCAATACATTCATGTCATTTTTACCAAATTTACCTCACAGTCCTGCATGCATGCATAATACATAGTCTACACAGTGAAGATTAATGCATATTTTAACAACAAAACCTTCTATGCATACCTAAAATGAATGTTCATCAGCAGCACAAAGAAGCATGTAGAGGACATTTGCAAACAAGCACTATTATGAAAAACATACCAATGCAGATCTCTGTCCCTTTGCAGATTGCATCCAAAAACTTTTGTTCACTTAAATCTGGAAAAACTAAACTATGTGCTTCAGTGAGTGCCACAGCACTTGAAGAAACATCAGAGACTAGTTGCATTGGTTTATTGTCAATCTGGTGCACCATAAAGATTGCTGGGAAACATCAAACATGCTGCAGACATTAATTACATTCAAAGTCTATCTTGGATTTAACAAAGAGAAGGACAGCCTCCTCTGCTGGAATTAAATAACGTGGCTAAGAGGATATAGAATGGAGCACTTTGATGTGTTTGATGAATGAATGTGGGGAGCTTGATTGATTTGAAATATATCAAAAGCATAATCACTCTCCTCTTTCTGCAGGCCAGTGGAGCACAGCTGGCCTCCAAAGAAGCCTGCAGAGTTTTCAGCTCTCTTTGGCTCTTTTATCTACATCTCTCTGACAGGAAGAATGAGGAGGGTTTGGCTGCAGCTTTCACACTGTAACTGTTCATTTACCAATCATTAAATATTCAGGGCCAACTTCTTTGTGTACACCTCATCCAGACTGTCGGGTATAGTGTAAATAATGCAGAAAGGATAGAGAGGGTCAACCATTGTGCAAGTTAATGAGAAGTCTCTAGAGTGCTTTTAAACAGAAACAGATGTTGGGAACTTGTAATGATTTTCCAGAACTGAGGAGTAGCCATTATCATACATAGATAACAAAAATGTTTTAACTATTGTTACATTCTCAGTCAGTCTAATACTAAGGTGGAAGTTTAATAAAGCTACCATATCATTTTCTGAAAAATATGACTTGAAATTTCCACAAAGGGCACTTTTGTGAGCAGGAAAAACATATTTTCTCTTTGGATATTTCAAAACAAATGCAGTTGGGAATGATTTTAAGTGGACACAAAAGGGACAATAGATTAAAGGGTTTGTCAACATAAACACGATACGGCTGTGTTAGTTATTAAAAGAAATTAGAATTACAGCTTCCATTTCCCCGGTTTGACAGTCCGACGTTTCATTGAAAACAAGGTTAGCAGGAGGTGAAGGATTTCCAGAAGAAAAATCTGCAGCCAGGTCTGCGGGGCCGAGCTGCCAGTCCACGTCTCTTCGTCTCCTGTTTCACTGTGTCTGTGGGTCCTTGGAGGAATTTGTTAAGTTTGTTAAGAAAGTCCATCCAGGTCTGTTTCTGTGCTGATTCCTATGGAGAGAAATAGTGACATGTGAAAATATATACAGCTTCTTTAAAGTCATTACCTGTAGTCTATGAAATAATTAAAATTATAATAGTTTGGAAGACAGGGAAATTGTATGTATGTAGAGTATTGTATTCTTGTTGCAAAACTTTTAGACTTAGACAACTTTATTTATCCCAAATGGCATATGGTTTAACAGTCTACTAAGACCACACATACATTACAAAGAAACATCAGACAGGAGTATGCCAGAGACAATAAATATATTCAGTGCATTGGCAGAGATGCTGTTTTTGATAGATATAGGGAAAAGAAAAGTTGTCTAAGTTGTGCTGTAATCTTTAATCTTTGCTTTCACAGACCTTCAACTGTGAGTATAAATAAATGACAGGATATCTAGCGGGTAGCTTGTGAAGCATCCAGAATGACTCACTGAAAATAAAATGACACTTGTAACAGATCACTATCAAGAAACTGGGTGAGCACAGGAAGGTCCAATGTGTAGTCATAGCTGGTATTTGGAGGCTGGTTTCAATCACTTGATGGACAATTAATTCAATAGAAATTTACAGAATAATCGTGGAGAGGTTAATCGTTGTCAGGTAAAATAAAAAAAATCTTACTTGTTTGTCCTGTAATTTGTCGAGCCATGACAATGTGTCTTGCTGTAGTTGGAGGTCTTCTGGTCTCTGCTCTGGCTCACCATCTGCCACAGCACATGCTGCAAAACACAAAAGTGCCAAGATGCACAAGGTACAGGCCATCCTTTTTATGTTGGAATTCTTTGTGGTGTCCTTCTTCTTCAGAGAATTGATCTTAGTAAGACACAACAATATCCACTGCTGTGGCTAACCTTAACGGTACAGCTGTACAACTGTGAGACATCTGTTTTATTGTGTAATTTACAACCGTCATTAGGAATGAGACAAAAGGTCTAAATAAGGACATTTTCCCCATCCTGGTCTCTCCTGATGTCATCATTAACATTAACGGGCTGTAATCTGGTTGTATAACTGAAGGTCATCCTAATGATGTCATTGGTGTAACTTGAAAAGAGGTGAGCGATACTCTCTGCCTCCCTGTCTAAAAGCAAATCCCTGTTAGCTGAATGCGATGTGCACTCAAGTAAAATAAAACATTAATGGCCCTGACATGGGGGAAACAATGACTTCATTGGCCCTGCTATGCCTTAAAGTTGAATCAACGGGCAGCATGGAGCGCATGCCGATATCTAGAGGCCATAAAGGTCAATATATCATTTGTTACTCCCTCGTGAATTTGTTCTGGGCATCTCTTTAATGAGATTTCTGCTCTGTTTAACTTTACAGTCCAACAGCATCTCAATCAAGCCATATTTGTCACAGGCAGTAATGATTTTGTAATGGAACATGCAGCAAATATAAAACTGCTTTACTGTAAATTTAATTTAAAAAAAAGTTATCCTTCCTTTGGAAATGAAACTGTTTAATGCTAAAAAAAATAAGGTTTTTAGGTTGCAGCGCAATTTTATTTAAATAAACATTAAGTCTAAGAGGCTAAAAGACTAATTAAAATTGTCAATTATCAATTCAATTCATCAATGCTGTGACAATTTGGTTTGGTTTGAGCTAAATAAGTGCTAATTAAAGGATTAGATTCAGACTGAAACTTGAAAAAATAGATCAGAATCAGAATCAGAATTGATGTTTATTGCCAAGTACATTTACACATACAAGGAAACTGACTTGGTGTTTTGGTGCAAAACATCTTAAGGTCCTAACAGTATTGAATACATTTCTAAATGATTTTCTTCTAACTCTCAGTCTGACACTGTTTAAAATGTTAACCCTTAAATGCAAGAACCTAAACTGTAAATGTATGAACAGATGTCTTTGTAGTCGTTATAAGCCATGCCTGTGTGGAGAATATGTAAAGGACATGTGTCCTTCTCAAATGGAAGACAACCTTGAATTGCTTCAACCTTTGGCAAATCGCAATTTTAACCCAGTTAGAGAGGTGTAGAAGCCTGATATGGCTTCCTTAACAATAAGTGAGTGCGCTGTCAGGAGCAGAATAATCCTGTTAAGAAGGCTACAGAGAGCACTTTACAGCACAAGTGTTTCCAAACAACTGTCTGCACCAGGACATGTGAGAGTTATTTAACTCAAGGTGGCATTCAAGAAGGGACAGCATGTCATATGATGGAAGAGTCCCGATGAATGCTTTTCTCCAAAAATGTCTGAGATTGATAAGAAAATAAGTCTGATGACATGTTCCTAATTCACACAAGAGGCTCACACTTTTCTTCAGCTGTTTCTTGTGTAAGCTCACTTTCTTACATAAGCATATGAGGCTGTTTGTTATTTCTGACTCCAAGCAATCGATATCTTGGAACATCTGCGTGCCAAAAAGCAACAGTATTTCAAACACAGTGTTGTTTCAGGACATTATTGTGATCGTTTTGCATCCAGCTATATGTGGAGTTTGCATGTATTAATCACAGTGTCTGATCTGGATAAATAAACTTGAATGGCTGTCCCTTAGAGACATGCTGCTGTAATCAATTTTTGGGTGAGTAGTGTGGAGAAATAAGATGGTGAAAGGAAAAAGGAAAATGAGGCCATTTACGTAAGATGGAAAAACAATAATTTTACTTTTGATAAAAGCTTCTTACAGATATGTGGTCATTTGGAATACATTGAATACTGTAGAAATTAGCATTATTTTACTTCATTTTAATTTAAATATTACTCTCCAAATAAACCAACCAATTAAAGAGGAATTTTACATAAAAGCAAACATTTCACAAAGATATTCAAAGATCTAAATATTCATTTTTAAGCCCCTGAGCCACAGAGACAGCCAAAGATTTGTCTCCCTTCAGTTCATTTGGAATTTAGTGGAAAAAGTTTCAGGCAGTATGAGTAATAAAATGCAAATATTCCCATGCTCCATTTAACATGCTGGAGTTCAAAGAGATGATTTTAGAGTGAAGGCACAAATTACTCAAAACACAGCAAAACAAACAATTCTGACTCGCTACCTTAAAATGTCAACGTGTTCAACCAACATTTTATGAGCATGCGTGCCATTTGTTGTGACCTCATATTTTTCACAGCATCCATTTCCGAGTCTGCATCAGTCCTGTGAGTTCACTTGGAACAAACAAGCAAACACACGTCAGTGACAGCAGCACTAAATTGATGGGTTCATTATCGTCTCCTAGTTGATGGCTGCACAAATCAGGACTATTGAGTCACATTTTTATCCAAGACACTATTAGTCATGTGAAAATGGCAACATAATAAGAGGGTGTTATAGAGAGTGAAGAGCAGGTCTTAATGTATACATGGTCCAAATCTAGTTTTCATTAGTCACTGATTATTGCAACATTAAAACCATATACAATGAAAAATTACAAAATATCTCTAATGAAGCTTTATGTTATGCTTTGCAGTGTGTTGCCATTGTTCCTACAAATCCTACTAGAAGCTTACTAGCTGTTACTGAGGGCTGTTACTCTGGTCTTATTGTACAGCCTCGCATACAGATATAATGGTTCACTAAATTTCAAATGAATTACAATTCACATTATCATCAGCTCTAATAAAATAAAAGGCATTAAAGATGATTGGCAATTTGGAAGAAATGTGCTGAAGTCAGTTTTATTTAGAGCTAAGACAAGAAACAAAGAATGTCAAACTCCAAAAGAGCCATTTAACAATTGATATGAACATTAAACAGATTGTTTGATCTCACATTTTCTATATATACTCATAATCAAATCACATCAAAAAAAAAAAAAAAAAAAGTTTGAAGTTAAAAATTATCCCCACGAGGGTTGTCTCGACTATTTTGCCATAGTTTCCTGCAGACACGGCATCTACTGATGACACTTTGTAGAGAGGGTCCCTTTACTGTCCGAGGAACAGGTTTACTGTAGGAGACAGTAAAACACACAAACAAACACACACACACACACACACACACACACACACACACACACACACACACACACGACCAACCTGTTAGAAATGTAATTATAGGGGCGCTTGGTAGCTCACCTGGTAGAGCATGAACCATTTAATACTGAGCTCTTATCGCAAGACTGAATTCAATTCCATCCTAGGTCCTTTGCTGTGTGTCAACCTCTCTCTCTCCCCTCACTTTCCAGTCCATTATCAGCCTTTTACCACAGCATACAGGCAATAAATGTTCATAAAATAATCTTTAAATATAGGAATGTAAATATATGTCATTATAAATCCTAGTTTTTGGTAAATACCTCATTACAGTAAAAAAATGGTTCTTAACTATTACTTGTCAAATTGCACAAACTCATGACATTTCTGAGATATTAGTGTAATTACATCCTTTCTGAAACAGCTTTTCAATTATTAAATGTTATTAAGGTTATCTTTAAAAAAAAAAAAAGAACTGTTAATAATGTGATTTAAACAAAAAATGCCTCCATGCTTGTTTCCACAGGAGGCAGCAGTTTACCTGAACATGTTTTTGGGGTCTAGGGACGACAGCCAGAAGCTATAGGAGTCAGGGTAGTAGTTACACGTCCCCCTGCCGTGACACTCGATGAAGGGCACTTGGCGGAAACTTTCCAGACATGAGCCAGGAGACACCAGGGGCTGGGAGGAGCCCTCTGCTCCAGCACCCGTTTGCTAAAATGTGTGAAGGTTAAAAACATTTTTTTTTTTAATTTTTTTTTTTTTTTGGGGGGGGGGGGGGGGGCAGCATATGAGAACCTCAAAGACTTCAAGTAGGGAAAATTATTTCTTTACCATGACAAATGAGTATCCAGTCCACAGGGAATCCCAGCCGCTGGGACATACAGGTACCAGAGTTGTTTGGCTGTGCACGGCTATGACATTGGAGGTGATTTCACACACTGAGCACCTAAAGGAGCCATGCACATGGACATGACATGATGTTCCCAGTCATTGTAAATAGAAAGAAAACATTTCCAGTTCATGAAAATCCAACTAAATACATCCGAAGTGTGTTATAATAAACACAACACTGCCTTGTGTTGTTTTACTTTGGGATTATTAGGGTAGTGTCTGACACAGAGTCTGGTAAGTCATTCAGATTTATCTGTTGAACATGAATCTTTGACTGATCTGATTTCATCTGATGTATCATATACTGTTTGTTGAACCTGACAGCTGCTTTGCACTATTTGTACCTTCATTTATAGAGCCTGATTGTTTTTATGATGTGCTCTTAATGTTTGTCTTTAAATACTATTCTATTCTTTTTATTCTCGGACTGTGCGTATGTACTCCTTCACCTGCTGATGTAGGATGCCAGCCTGTCTCCTGTGATGGAAACCATGTTGGCCGGCATAGGCTCGCTGGTGGACAACCAATAGGAGTAGTCGTTACGAGAAGCATAGCGGCAGTTAGATTCAGTGTCACAGAACATGAAGGGCATGGTGGAGAAACGAGGGAGACAACTTCCAGAGGTGCCTGAAAGACAGTATAAGGGTTCTCAACAATTTTTTCAAGTGCAACACATTATTTTAAGACGCAAAAGCTGCTGTTCAGTCACTGACCAAGGTCCTGGCCGTGAGCTCTCTCATTGCCATTGATGAAGAGGAAGGAGTAACCAGAATAGATAAGGCTGCTGCCATGAGGGCATTCAGGTACCAACATACTCTGACTGTGTCGAGCGAACAGGAAACTGTCAGCATAACCTGAAGTAGCTCTGCCTGGCAACCCTGGAGGACCCTTGCTGCCTGGATTTCCGGGAGGTCCTTCCAAACCTGCAGAGGAAAGAACATCATTTATAAAAGAAAAAATCAAAAATCATGAAGAGCTATCATGGTGGCACTTTGTTTGGGGAGTCTGCAAA